AGTGAAGAACAACGCCAAAAAAGGCAGAAACAAGGTGAAAAAGAACCTTATCTTGTGCTCCTACAATCAAGAGGTCAAAGTCCTCAGCGACCAGGATGAAAGAAGGACATACCCACCTGCCGACTATCTAGATGTAGAATCAGATGAGGAATCACAGTTTCCTCCTTTGCAGAGGGACCCATCAAAAGGGACAACTCAGGATGAACAGAAGGAAGGAAATGTCCTGGGTGGGAAAGATGACTCAGCAGTGACTCAAACACCCCTGCAGCCTGCAGTGTCTCTTCATCCAGAACCAGAACTACAGCCTTTAGAGACTCCTAAAGAGCCACAGTCTGTAGGTGTAGCAAATCAGTCACAGCAGGCCAATGATGTGACAGCTTTGAATATGTTTGAGATCATCACTAAGGTGACTGACCAAGCCCCAATTCAGATCCCTGAGGTAGAGCAGTTAAAACAACTGCTCGAAGATCAGGAAGCCAAGGCGACCTCCAACGTGGCTCTACTCCTTGCTGAGGTATCCAACAAGCAGGCCATAGCAAGAGAAGCAGTCATGGAAACGGGGAAACTTATGGACGCTCTCCAAACTGAAAAGGAGAAGCGTATGAAGACAGAAGAGTGCCTCGCCCAGCAAATAGAGGAGAACTCCAGACTGAAGGTCGGTGTAACCAGGGCTGTCATGGACCTGCAGTACCAGGCTTACCTGTGGGGACAGGACAGGACCATTCTCCTGGGGGAAATCAACAGATTGCATGCTGTATTGTACCAGGCGCAAAAGTGTGCAGAAGAGAGGTCCGGCCTCCTGGCTGAAGCCTCTTCCATCAAGGCTGCACCCAACCAGCCCCCAGAAGACCTGGAAATCAAAAACAGCCAGTTGGAAGATGAAAAGTCCCGTCTCCTGGCTGAGGTGACAAATGAAACCTGCACCCTGAAGACTGCACTCAACCAGGCCCATGAAGACCTGGTGAAAAAGTGCAACCAATGGGAAGAGGAACGATCCTGTCTTCTGTTGGAGCAAGAGGAGGAAACCTGCAGCATAAAGGCTGCTCTGGTCCAGGCCCAGGAGGACCGGAAGCAGCAGAAGCTGCAGTGGGACGAGGAAAGATCCCGTCTACTAAAAGAGCAAGAACAGGCAACCTGCAAGATACATGCTGCTCTGGTCCAGGCCCAGGAGGACCTGAAGCAGCAGAAGCTGCAGTGGGACGAAGAAAGATCCCGTCTACGAGAAGAGCAAAAACAGACTACCTGCAGGATGGAGGAGAAACTGAAAGAGGCACAAAAAGACCTGATGAACTACAAGTGTTCATCTGACAAACAAATCTTTCAATTCCGGGTTGCTCAGATGGATGAAAGGTGCAAAAATGCGACCGCACTGAAAAAGGCTCAAGAGAACATTGAGAACCTTAAACAGCAGTGGAAGGAGGACCGGTCCCGTCTCCTGGCAGAACATGAGGAGGAAACTCTCAGGATGAAGACTGCTCTGATCCAAGCCCAAGAGTGCCAAGACAGACAGAAACAAGAATGGGAGGAGGAAAGGTGTAAACTACTGCTTGGGCACAATGAAGAAGCCAGTAGGATGCATGAGGCACTAACACAATCCCAAAAGGACCTGGCAGAGAAGAATTGCCAGTGGGAGGAGGACAAGTCACAGCTCGTTGAGGAAACCCTCAGGATAAAGGCATCCCTAAACCAGGCGCAAATAGAAAATTATCAGCTGCAGTGGCAGAAAGAGAAAGCCTGTCTCCTGGAGTCTGTGAACATCTTGAAGCAGTTTCTTGAGGAGAAGGATGAAGAGAAAGACAAGTCAACAGAAGGCCTTATGGACAGACTACAGAACCTTGAAGTTCAGGTGGAGGAGGCTCAGAAAAAGAAGAAAAAGTCTTTAAAGAAAAAGTTTCTGGGGCTTTTTAAAAAAGATGAAGCAACCACCTCTCCAAACTCAGGCCACCTGTAGCAAGACTCTTCAACCCTCTCCAAAACCTCCTTCCATCCACCTCCTAACCTCCCATAAACTCTAACCTCCAAATAAAATCCTGGCTGCAAACCAACTTTCTCAAACTCAACTGCGACAAATCAGAAGTCATCATCATCAGCCCCAAATCCCTCATCATATCCACCAACAACTTCTCCCTCACCATCGATGGCTCTACAGTGCTCCCTTCCCCCCACATCCGTAACCTTGGAGTCATCTTTGACCAAACCCTCTCCGACGGCAAACACATCAAACACATCACCAAAACAGCCTTTTTCCACCTCAGAAACATCGCCCGCCTCCGCCCATCACTCTCACCCACGCATTCATTACCTTCAGATTAGACTACTGCAACAGTCTCCTCTACGGATCACCATCACATAAGATAAAAAGATAATCCTTTATTTATCCCTCAACGGGGAAATTTACATTGTCACAGCAGCAAAGAGCAAAGATTGCAAACAAGTACAATTTAAATTAAAAAAAAGAAAAATTAAGAATGTACCAAAAAATAGATACTAAAAAAATAGATGAAAAAAAAATAGATCAGCTATTTGACAAATAGACATTCACATTCACTCAAAGAGACAGTCACATTCACTCAAGAAGCTCCAATACATCCAGAATGTACGTAAAACAAAAAAATAAAATTTGATTGGCTTCAAACTTCAAGTGCATCCTAAGTTTACTCACTTCAAAATCATTTTCTAAACATTACAGGGAGCATAAAATGGCATTGTCAATAAAAGCTTTTGAAGCAATTTCTATTTTTTGAGTGTATTTTCAGATTTTTACATCTTAATATTATTGTCTGAACGTACTCAAAGTTGTGTGTGTCGTGGTTGCGGATGCTCAACATGAAACACAAAAAAGAAATATCTGAACAACAACCGTCATGAAATGTTCCCATTTCACATATTCATGCAGCAGCAATTTTTCTTCAGATTTCACACTCCAGGTCAACAGAAATGCTGTTGTAATAACATACTGCTGCATTTACTACATATCAAGCTAACAGCATTGTTACATTGCTAGCTATGATTATTGTTAGCTAGGGGTGTACCCATTTAAAATTGTATCTTCCCAGCAAGCATTAAAAAATCATTCAAGCGATGTCTTCGGGAAGACATTGAGTAAACGTTTATTTTCAAACCAGATTTTAAGAGGAAATCTGCTTCTGTCACAAGAATCATAACACTTTCATAATTTTTTTTCTCATAGATCTCATATTTACAGTGGCTAAGATTACTGTATACGGTAAGTTAATAAAGTAAAGTAATCTAAGCAGGAGTAGACATGTTTTTTGTACTCATAACTCCCTGCAGTCAAATCTAATGCTTCCCACCATCTGCTACATCTGCTACAGTAAAACTCCTGTCCTAACGTTTGATTACACGTTAGATAGTGGAGTGCGGGAGTTTACCTTTCAATAAATAAGATAAATGTAAAATATGATAAATGCATAGTGCTGCTCTGTAAATGATGTAAGAAAGAGTACGGTCTAGACCTGCTCTTTTTGTAAAGTGGAGAGACTTATTTGAGAATGAACAATTATTTATTGAACAATTTAGAATTAAACGTCTTTGGGGGATTAGACTTCATGTACTCAGAGGGGTAATGAGGCCAACAGCAGGATAGGATACCCCCCTATGGAGTCTAGACCCTGGTGGTGGTGAAGAGGAATGGAGGCTGTGAAGAGGAGTGGGCTTCAGAGCCTGAATCTGGACTCTGCTGACCTGGAATGGAGGTCTCTGGGGCGGTGGTGAGTTGCAGTGGTTGAACTGAAAAGACAGAATGACTGTGGAAGACAGAGAACTGTTTTAACATTTGGCAGCAGCAGGATGATTGGTTGAGAGAGGTTGTGCCTGAATCTGGTTGGTTAATTACTTAAAGAATAAACACCCATAATCAGCTGATCACCAGAGCAGGTAGACAGAGGAAGTAGTTTAGGTTGAAGTGAAAGGATGAATGAATTAGTGAAAGAATATAACCAGTCTTGCTGTCTGAACTTACGTTGAGCTCCATTTATGGTTGAACACTTTGTGACTTACTCATATTTTGGTTTTAATGAAATCCTCAGGGAGCTTTCAGAAAAAGAAAAAGAAAATCCTGCACCATGACATCTGTTTGATATCATCAGCTATCTGCGGCCACAGTTTGTGCTCTGAGGTAACAGAAATCTTGCATTAACACATGGTTGGTCAATTGAAAGACAACTTGAAGTTGCATTGTGGGAAGTGCAGGGTTTTTGATGCTTGGACCATAAGAGGGACTAAAATCTGCATATCTTTTCTTATCTTTTGTTACAATGTTCATAATTGAATACATGTATTCATCAATTGCAAGATCACTGATGATTATCTGTGATGAACATAATGTGCAAAGACAATCTGGATAATCTCTGCATCTGCTGCACTGCCCCTAATATTTTTTTTTAAATATCCTGTGAATCTCCTTTTTTTAATATTCTGAGGTGCCCTTTTATTTGAATCTATTAATGTTGTTTTTTCATGGCCAATCAAGTTAATAGAGTAATGGGTGGTTTAGCTGTGTATATGTGGTTTAAAATTGACAGAAGGGGGAAACAAATTAATGCATTTAAATACAGCTTTAAAACAACAAATTATTCACAATATTAATGAAGCAGTTAAGATGTTTGTTTGGGAAGGACTTGTTGTTTTTTGTGTGTATTGTCTCTGAACTGGATGGTTTTAATTTTTTTTTAAAGAATTGTCAGTGTTTTTTATGTTATAAAGCTGAACAGTCTATTCCAAGACTAATTTAATCATAACATTTAATAATAATAAAAACCTTTACTTTAACGTGTAGCCGACAAATCTCGATCCTTGTTATGCACTACATTTCCCTAATGCCATTTCGTCAACGACTTGCAGTTGATTGGCTGCAGCTCAACTCAGCTTCATCGTTCAGTTCTGTGAATGGCCATGTCATCCTGTCAATCAAACCGAGTATCATCTCAACCAATGATGTCGAGGTTTCACTCGATGTGGGCGGGACTAATCATCTTCCTCACACATCACGCTTGTTTCCTGGTCGTTGCTAACAACCTGCTGCCTGTAACTTCATCTGCCCGCCGTCCCCTCATGCATTGACGGCTTCCAGCGGCGGGTGTTTTGGGGGATGTGTGCGGGGATGAAGCGGCCGTGTCGACGCTGCTGAGGGCGGCCGGACTGGCTGCATGCTGCTCCGGTTCTCTCTGCCTGCTGTCTGACGCTGGGGGGGTTGCAGTGTGGCCTCCAGCCGCGGCTGCGATTTAACTTCATTTCTCAACGTCGCTCTCCTCTGAAATTATGTTTATTTATTAAGATGGCGGCGAGAGGAACACTGTAAACTAAATGACTGTCAGAAACATCGCCTCCATTTGTAATATGGTGAGTATGAAGCCGGCTGTGTGTGTGTGTGTGTGTGTGTGTGTGTGTGTGTGTGTGTGTGTGTGTGTGTGTGTGTGTGTGTGTGTGTGTGTGTGTGTGTGTGTGTGTGTGTGTGTGTGTGTGTGGGGGGGGGGGGGGGGGTTTGCCTGCGGCCTCCGTGTTGGAGCTGGTATGTGGTGATGTTCATGGGGTTGAGTCGCCTCCCCCCTGCACCCTCACACACTGTGCAAAGAGGGCCAGCTCTGTATTAAAAGGATGCACTATGAATTTTGTCCCTGGGTGCTAAAAAAAAAAAGGAAAAAAAGCCTGCATCTTAAACATAGATGTGCTGCAGGCTATAGCTTCCTGTCAGCGTTGACTTTATGTGTTACTGCCTGAGCTACAATGTCCACTTTGTAGAGCTGTCACCGATGATTGACAGGTGAATGAAGCCTCGCGCTGCCCGTGACAGCTTGTTGTGATTGCATAATCTGCTGCTGCTGCAGAGAGCTGCTAACAGCACAGAGACATTGGCTTTTCCGGGTATGTAGACTGGATTTAATGTCCAACAGCCTGCACAGTCTGTCACCTCTGGGTGCTGCTGGGTGCATTATTGACACTGTACAGTGTATCAAATATAGAACAAGTTGTGTGTATTTTGTGAGTGTTGTGAAAATAGAGCTCCTACAGTTCTGCTTTAACAAGTCAAGAGGACATTACTCAGTGTTTCAGATAATAAACATCACAAACTGTCCTGCTGTGACAGTCAGAGGCTGAGTGATAAGGTTACAATCACAATGTTGAATCTTATTGCAATTATTATGGCTGTATGGTTGGATGATTTTCAGATTAGTGATGATGACTATTTTTAAATTTCTCTTTTCATTGTATTCTATATTCAACAAAAGGAAATAAGGGCTGTGTTTCCAAAGAATTTTATTACATTTTTTCTAAATTGATTGTAATTAAAAAAGATTTACAATCAATAATTGAATCATGCTACAGTTTTATGATAATATCAAACTCAAACTATAGAGAAAGTGTCCTGCATTTTGTCTGTTCCATGCAGAAGAACAAAAACTGTGGTACAAAAATAAGTACAATAATTGCAGTTGGTTTACGTTCAGAAAGAAGCATGCTAAACTATCTTAGTCCTGTCTTGTTTGAATCGCAGTGGATTGTGGGGTGCGCTCTTCTTCACTCCTGTAAAACATGTTATGTTGTTATCTGGTAGCTTGTTGGTATGAGGACTGGGAATCTCACAATTTGATTTGATTTCAATTCTTAGGGTCACGATTCGATTCAGAGATACATACTTCAGGATCTTCTCCAGTCATCTGTGAGACTGGCTGAATTTTGTGTTGCTCCATTTGGCATTCTACTGAGTGAGAGAGCTAGCCTTAGCATTTAGCAGGGAGTGACTGATTAGCCCAAAAAAGAAAATTGGAAGTTATGAATCTATTTTAAACAGCAGAAGCTAAGAATCTCAATTTTTAAACAGAAATTTTTTCCCCACCTCTAATTGGTATAGTTTGAAAATTCCAAATTTTGGCATTGGGACTTTCTGAAAAGTCAATGGAGGATTTGAGAGGGGAAATTTACTTTCAGAACCAGAGCCACCAAATGAGTGTGCGATCACAAGAAGAAGTCTTTAAATGGATCATTATTCTTACCACCAGCCTTTAATACACCAAATGTTAAAATATGAGCCTTGAGTACTGATACTGATACTGAAAAATGAGTATTTTGGTCTATTAATGCATTGGGAGACTGATGTTAAGTAGATCTAAAATGCAGTGAAGTTTGATCCTCTCCTTCTGTGAGTAGAAATTTAGACTTAGACTGAATGGAAAATGTTTTGTAGTTGCATCATCGGGTTCATGCATGTTGTCAAGATAGAGATGAATGCGTTCATGACATTAAAGTACTTATACACTGTAATTTATTATTGCAGATAAATAAAACACTCAGACAACAACCCTGACACACTTCTTCAGTCTTTGTAAGATACATAAGCAGTAACAGCTGACAGGTTGTATTTCAAATGTTTCTAGGATTACACTTTTACACAACTATCAAGCCACTTCTAGCTGAGTTGAGTAATATGTTGGTCAAGGATGGATCTTCATGTAAAGGTTGTTATTTAACAAAAAAGGCTGAAAACGTTTAAGTGTCACAAAAAAAAGAATTCAAATACAAAGTAGGAGTTAAAAGACGTCAGGACTCTTGTCAGAATCTTCTGCGCACTGTCGGCTCTTAAGTCTTTTTTCCTTTTAAATAAAAGATGCAACAAGCTGCCGTTTAAACGAGGAGGTGTCAAAAAATGGTGTCAGGTGTCGGCAGGGTTTGTATGGATATAATCCTACTTACCCACACACACATGATTTGCATAGGTTTGACTTTTATTCATTTACATTTCAAATTTTAAGCAAAGTCATGCACAATGTCTAACTTTAAAACCACCACTGAGAGAGAGAGAGAGAGAGAGAGAGAGAGAGAGAGAGAGAGAGAGACTTGTTTACAATAAATTCAGACTCATGCAGTGTGTTTATTGCAAATGCTAACAGCACAATAAGGATGGAAATGTGATTCATTGTGCAGCCTGAATCGGTACCGTTTGCTTTACTAGTATCAGATAGAAGTTTAAATGTTGGTATTGTGACAACCCCAGTACACATACCAAAAGGTTAGCTAAAGCTACAATCATTTGTCAGTTCATGTTTTTAGTTAAGGGAACACTAAAAGTCCCAAAAGTAAAATTACATCCAATATAGAAACATTACAATAGATCAGAAGTCCTAAAGAGTGAATTAGTAATACCATTTAGTCCACCTGGGTCTAGAATTAATTCCAAAAAATTCCTCCAAAAGAAGATGCACAGCTGTGGCAGCACATCAGTGGATGAACCTATCATGGAAAGAGAAAAATCAGTGTCTATGATGAGTACATTTTGAAGATTCAATACACCTGTCTTATGAAATACATTCTATTCCCTTAATCTTGTTTTCCCTTCAGTTTTTTGTAAATTAAGACTCAAACTATTTCCTATAACGAAAGGGTCACCTGTTGGTGCAGTGATTTGTGTCTCTGTAATGCCGCTGCTTCTCAGACTTGAAGTAGTAAATCTCACAAAGTCATATTCATTGTCTGCTTTGACAGGCAGAAATGACACTGAGTAAATGTCACTGAAAGTCAAAGCCTTCCTCAGACTCGTTTTCTGTGATTGCCGAACAAAGCTGTGGTTCAATTGGAAAAGCTTTGAGCTCTGACAGGAGAAAAGACCCTGACAGGAGATAAGTGGTCAGTCTCAGCAATCAGACGCAGTATACTCCTGACTTTTGACAAGAGCTGAACGTTATAGACCGTATCATTTTTCTACTTTGACTCTGGGTTTGTTTTCCTGGCTGGAAAAGACATTGAGTCGAGCCTCAGCACCCAGACAGAAACTGATACTTTGAAATTTGGCTTCAAGGATAATTTGGTCAATTAAACTGTCACAAAGAGAGGCCTTTAATTTTGGTTTATCTCTGAAGCTACGGCTTAAAAAAAGAATTAAAGCCTGGGCTTCATTTTTACATTTTTGGGGTCTAAATGACAGAAAAGCTCCAGTAGACTTCTTCACTCAGCAGCAAGGACACAAGCTGTACATTACATTCAACTGTGTGGTCGATGCACAAGATCAAGTTCTGAAGAATAAAATGCAGTTATGCATTTAACCAGAAGCTTTAAGGTGCTGAGTTTGCAAATGTAATTATAGAGTGACAACAGGTACAGTATATTCAATGCAGTAGCACAAGCAGATGTAATGACTGCATGTATAACGGGGCGCATTACGTCGCACACCACTTGTACGGGATCTTTAGTACTAATCGCAGTGGCCTTTGCTGAATGTCATCCCCAGCTCTCTTCTCCCAACATCTCCTGTCTCTCTATCTAATAAAAGCAAAAAAGGCCCAAAAATAAATGGTCTACTCTGAAGGCTGAGACACACTTGCTGTTAACTACACATACGCGTCCCCTGCGTCCTGTTTGGCACATCATCTGAGTGTCTTCAAAAATAAACACAATGGGAACATGAGATGCGGTAAGCACAGGACCTGCACTGTGTTCTGTTTAATCAGTCTGAGGCTGATCGGATGATACTTTTGATTATTGATGTTAATTATCGGAGTGCTGATCTCAGGATTAACATCATACTAACCTCTTGTGCTGTGTTGCCATGTTTGTAGTTTGCATCCCACACATCAGGTAGGCCTTCTAGAAGTATCCTGCAATAACACTTCACATTAGCAGAAATCTCCTGAATGACTCAGGATATTTCCTGGAGGAGCTGTATACTATATGCGAACGCAAACAGCCACATTTTTCTCTCGGACTTCACCCGGGGTTTCTCCTGCCAGACTCCTAGTATTTTTTCCGCAGCAAGTCCGAGTGGGCTGATGTGAAAGTGCCGCAGGATATTATCAGGAGAATTCACCTCGAGCCATTAGGAGGGGGAGTGACTGCTGCACTAGATATTTTCCAGAGTGCATATGTGAAAACAGCTTTACAGTCAAATATATTAACAATTATGCTGATGACACAGACGGACGCATACAGAAACACGAGGTTAAATAGAAAGTTCATCTCCAGTCTTTGTGGTTAGTTTGCCACTTACAGGATCAAATAGTTTTTCATCGAGTCTAAAAACATGTAGGAAAGGTCTAAACAGAGATAAACTTTTATTGTCAAAGAGATATGCAGCTGTCCCGTTACTTTCCATTTTTGCCACCAGACTCAGTATTTTTGCAGAACAAAAGGTGTGTCTTGTCTACCTTGGCCTTAATCACATCACATGGTTTCTTTGTGTTATTTTGTGACGTTGTTGTATGATGGATAATTTGGATGCACAAAAGCACACTAAAATTATTGATTGAGGCGGCAGCTGACAAATAATTCTGGTTTTGTGTCAGATAAGTTTGCTGTTCATGTAAATAGAGTCTGGTGCCGTCAAAGAGTGATTTTAAGGATGTCTAAAAATAACCAGATTTACAACTCAACAAAGGTCTTTCTTTGAAGGTCTAAGAGTGCTGCTCCAGTTTGAACAGGCTTGTTTTCTATGGAGCTATTATTGTGGCAAAACTATTTGAATATGCATACACATATCTTCAAATGTGTGTCTGACAATCTGGAGACTGGCAGCCTAGCCAGTGAGCCTGGACTCAGGAAAACAAACCCCACTGATGTGTTTGCAGATTGGCAGACACACATTTGAAGATTTGTGTACGCCTTTGTGGATCCTGCACGGCAGGAGTGTTGCAAAAGTCACGTGTAAAATGACAGCCAATGGAGAGGCCCGTCTAAGTTGTTAGCGATCGTTTGTGTGTATTTTCAGGATTTACAGCTGAAAAAAACTCAGTGCCATTAAAAAATAAGTAAACATTTTGAAATTGGTCTACATATTTGCAGATTAGTTTACACATTTGTGGATCTTTTTACACATTTGTGGATCTGTGTACGCATATTCAAATAGTTTTACCACAATGATAGCTCCATAGTTTTCCATAAATTGGACATCACAGCCTGTTATAGCCTGTTTCATGGCTTTCTGGATTAATTTATCTACTAAAGCAGTTGCAAACATTTATTCCAACTTGAAAAACAGATCAAGGAGATGTTAATTATCCCATATAGACTATACCTTAGTGAGCCACCCAGGTATATTTACAACCAGAGTATTTTCCTTTTTTATACACATGATCACCACAAGATTGATAAACAAGTGGAAAACCTACAGCAGCTCTCTGCTGCCAAGTTTGTCTACTGTGAATTCTCTACAGGTGTTCAGATAGAGATATGAGCCTTCTGTTAATGTAAATGTTTTTTTCTGTTATGTGTTATTTCTGTTAAATGTTATTATGTACACTCTTAGTTTTTGCTATGCCACGAGGCTCACCTGCTGTCATCACGGGATGGGTTTTAATTTCTAAGAAATATTATTTAGAAATCGAGCTCTGTGAAAGTAAGGCCCAGGTGTAAAAATATTGGATTTCCTTTTAAAGCTTCAGTAGCCGGTTCAGGCTCAAAGGCTGTACAGAATTTCCATTATGATTTGGTTACATATACGAAGATAATCTAATCAAATGACACACACACACACACACACTCTCTCTCTCTAATAAATGTGAGTTACCTCTGTGACACAGACAGGATGATGTCTTTAGTTTCTTGTTTTCATGACTCGTGTTGTGTTCTTGTTCTCTTAGGGCACCAATGCCTCTGCTCTGGAGAAAGACATCGGCCCGGAGCAATTCCCAATCAATGAACACTACTTTGGATTGGTCAATGTGAGTATCTGTCAGAGCGTTCACACAATCACACAGGTCATCACCAAAAAAACACTGGTGTCATCTTTCAAAACAAATGACTGCAGGACGATGAGTCATGTCCTTTTCTGGAAAGTGTAGGTGACAGTGTTGTTTTTGATGAAGTTGACCGTAACAGGGATGTTCTGCTTTGCTAAAATTGCAGTTACATAAACACATTAATAACCTTTTTGCACAACCTGGATGATAAAAACAATTGAACACTTCTGTATTTTCCAAGCTGCTCATTTCCCAGAACATCTAATAGTAAAGTGTGTGTGTGTGTGTGTGTGTGTGTGTGTGTGTGTGTGTGTGTGTGTGTGTGTGTGTGTGTGTGTGTGTGTGTGTGTGTGTGTGTGTGTGTGTGTGTGTGTGTGTGTGTGTGTGTGTGTGTGTGTGTGTGTGTGTGTGTGTGTGTGTGTGTGTGTGTGTGTGTGTGTGTGTCCTTTTCTCCCCTCAGTTTGGAAACACATGTTACTGTAACTCGGTGCTCCAGGCGCTGTACTTCTGCCGGCCATTCCGGGAGAATGTTCTGGCGTATAAAGCCCAGCAGAAGAAGAAAGAGAACCTGCTCACATGCCTGGCCGACCTCTTCCACTCCATCGCCACGCAGAAGAAGAAAGTGGGCGTCATCCCACCCAAGAAGTTCATCTCAAGACTACGGAAAGAGAACGGTGAGAGCCCATCCGTCTCTTTTTTTTAAACTCACTAGAATATGTGTGTGTGAAATGAATTTCGCCTCAGTCTGGTAGTAGCTAGCTTGGAAAGCGGTGTCCTCTAAATCAGTGGGAGTGGCTTGCGGTGCTGTGCATTCTGGGAGTTGTTGTCTGTCATCCACATGAGCCAAAAATATACCTTCTGCCAACTTCAAAATTTATTTCACATTTCTACTATATATGACCCAATGTCAATACAGATTCATGTTTCAACGGGGGAAGTATCCCTTTAAAAGCTTTATATGCGATTTTTTGATCCAGCAGATGTCGCCCTTGAGCACCAGTATGAAACCAAAACAACTTGCGCTGCATTGTTGTGTTTGCATGCTAATGCTAGTGATCTTTATTATGTTCGTATCTTCACACTGCATGTAAATTTACCTGAAATGAGCGTGATCTAGAAACACAGTTAAGCAGTGAGTACAGTATGTTATTCTTCTTTTCTCTAGTCCCTCAATTAAACAACTTTTATACATGAGGGGAGGAGTCAGCCGGCCGTCCCGGCGATGTAAACAAACTGAAGTTAGGGCTCTAACTTCTAACTAACTCTAGGACAAAACTCTGAAAACATTACAGACAGTGGGACTCGGGTGTTACACCCATTGTAGACAGTCATGACTCACAGAGTTATTTTCAGAGGATATACTTGATTTCTATTATATTTAAGTGTGAAAAATCACATAAAGCCTTTAAGTACAACCTCTTATATTCGTGAAGTACATTACTTATCAAGATCAAAAAATTGCTGAATTGACAAAAAAATAAATTAAAAAAATCCTTAATACATGAAGAAATATCCATGCTTTTCTTGCTAAATAAATCAAAACTTTGTGGCACACTGAAAATAACTTTACCAGTGCTGGTTGAACCTGAGGAAGCTAAAACACGTTCACTCACATTAAAACACAGTAAAGTTATTTTCAGTGTGCCACAGAGTTTTGATTCATTTTTTATGTTATGTTCCTGCAACAATGCTCACCTCATGTAGGCTGTGCACGGCGTATCCTGTTGGCCATTTAGATTAAACAAGTTTTTCTTGCCTTAATAAATAAAATAAGTAAATTATTGCAATAAATGCCACATTTCTTGTTTTTAATTGCACAAAAATTGCAGGCAAACTTCTGCACACTGTCTAAATCGCACAAATACATTGATGATATTCTAATTCTGACTATATTTGTGCAATTTAGACAGTGTTCTCTCTCTTTGGCTTGTGGCAGCTTTTGGTTAAAAATATGAACGAAGGGTTTTTAAAGCTTCAGTACTTTTTTATAATATGGATCATACATATAACTCAAATTGTATCATATTAAATCACAAGATACCAAACAGTATTAAAGTAGGCAAACATTTTGCAAACCTTTCATGTAGGTGTATCCGTCTCCAGGTCTTGCTTCTTTGCATGCTTTACTGTCACTGTTTACTTGAACATTTAAACACCTTTTGTTTATTTGAGTTTTCCTCTCATTTCAAACTAAATTGTGTGCCATGAAAACAAGTTTTAGCTGCAATACAAGGCTTTTCAGTTTTGGTATTCCTGCTCCTGTCACAGCCAGTGGACACGTACACACACGTCCATGAACAATCAGAGGTTTCAGAGTTCTGTTTCTGTGTTGTGTGTCTGCAGCAGGGTCGGCTTTAATACAGTCTGATTATTTGCAGTGAAGGGCAGGTGCATGTTGGTGGTAAGGTCGTTCAGAGAGGAGAGCAGACAGAGGCTGCCTGTTCTCCTGCTGTCCATTTTGAGGAAGCTCTTTATGTGAAAGAACAATGAGATCTCTGTTTAGTCCAGGTTTGGTCAGCTGCCTCCTCTCTGGACTCTCTCCCCCCACCCCCCACCCCCCCTTCTCCTCCTCCTCCTCCCCCTCCTCACCCAAACTCCTCAACTCTCCACATCTCACCTTTCACAGAGAAACCTGTTCTCAGTAGAAATTTCTCACAGCTGGGACAGTGAAGGTTTATTTCATAACATTAATGATGTTCAGTGATCCAGCAGGCCTGACACGTCCAATCAGACGTGGGGAAGCAGCAAATGCACAGGTCCGTGATTTACAAATAAAAGGACCAAATCGACAAATATTATTTCAGCAATTTTCAGATAGTTGGCCCTATGCTATATTGAGCTGACACTTTTTTTTCCTGATATCATATCATGTATAACGACTTGTTTGTGATGATTCTGCGTTTATACATCACTCAATGAACTCTACACATGGCATATTTCCAGTGGGTCACTCAAGGGGCACCGAGGTCGTGCAGTACCCGGTCCCTAAACAGCTCTGTGGAAAATATAATATATGGCATGAAGCACAGCTTTCAATTACAAGTAAACTCTTGAGTTTAGCGAGTCTGGCTCTGTTGAATGCAATTTGATTTGTATGTAATTGGATAGGAAATACATTTTCATAAATCTGTCACTTCCTAGAGGCTCCCTTTGTCGAAGAAAATCCTAAAAAAAGACGCAGTTACACACATTTAAAGCTTGGTTAGTACGTTTAGCTAGCTGTTTAAGCATCACACACGAGAGGGAGTAATGTACTGAATATCAGCACTGGGGCCTTGTGCCAAAACAAAATTACAGAGGTACTAAATTTCAGTGCTGCCTCTAGACCTCGAGGGTGAAATGGTAAACATGTGATACGACACACCAGTTTTACCCTGACGCCTGAAAGCCTCTTTGTTTAATTTTAAGTATTTTTGACAGTATAATAAATATCTTAAACTAAAGGCATTTGTTTGGACATATTCATTCTTAAACATCTGTGGTAACTACGACAACCACAGACGCATTGGACTGAAATCGCCTGTTAACATGGCCACTCCTTAAATCGTACCACTACAGCTAGTGTTTCCCATGTCATTAATCAGTCGTCTTCATCGTCTTTTTTTAATGATCTCTTCTTCCCCCCTTCAGATCTGTTTGATAACTACATGCAGCAGGACGCCCACGAGTTCCTCAACTACCTGTTGAACACGGTGGCCGACATCCTGCAGGAGGAGAAGAAGCAGGAGAAGCAGAACGGACGCTTGAAGAACAACGGCACCGCCATCGCTGCGGAGACCGAGACGGAGAACAAGACCACCGAGCCCACGTGGGTCCATGACATCTTCCAGGGGACGCTGACCAATGAGACGCGCTGCCTCAACTGTGAAACAGTGAGTTTGATTTCTGTTAAAAGGGTTTTGAAAAATGAAAATTTTTTGTTGTTATCTGTCTGTGTCACCATGAGTCACCGATCTCTCCTGAATGAGTCTGAATAGAGGATTAGTTTTTTGCTGAGATGCAGATTCAGCCAGCTCTCTCCACTCACCCACTTTACGTCAGGGCTGGGCTTTGTCCTCACATTTAGAGGGCGAGGAGTGGGACGGTTGCCCTGAACAACCTCTGCAAACACCGAAGATGCTCTGTGTGCTGAGACAAAAAGCTGCTCAGTATAATAAGCATTTCAAAGACCGTGTGTGTGTGTGTGTGTGTGTGTGTGTGTGTGTGTGTGTGTGTGTGTGTGTGTGTGTGTGTGTGTGTGTGTGTGTGTGTGTGTGTGTGTGTGTGTGTGTGTGTGTGTGTGTGTGTGTGTGTGTGTGTGTGTGTGTGTGTGTGTGTGTGTGTGTGTGTGTGTGTGTGTGTGTGGGGGGGGTGGTTGCAGCGTAATCCTCTCTGACGACAGTTTAGTGACCTAGATGTGTCCCCCCCCCCCCCCCTCTTTAACAGGTGAGCAGCAAAGATGAGGATTTTCTGGATCTTTCTGTGGATGTGGAGCAGAACACATCGATCACACACTGTCTCAGGTAAGGGCAGGGTTATTACACACTGACAAGAAGACCACGTTCTCTTCACTCTGCAAATCGAATAATAACCCATCCTCCTGTGGCGTGCTCTGCCCTGCAGGGACTTCAGCAACACAGAGACTTTGTGCAGTGAATACAAATACTACTGTGAGACGTGCTGCAGCAAGCAGGAGGCACAGAAACGGTCAGTGAAGCTTATTATCTATTTACTTACAGTAACACCACAGTTTTCACTTAAATGCAAGATAATGATGTCATGAAGGAGAAAAGATATAACAGAGTTGCACCTTTAGCTGAGTCCTACTCACTATCTATCACAGCACACGTTCTGCTGCAAGAGAATGCTTGAAAATCCACAATGTATTTTTTTTTTATCCGAAGTATCACTGACATTTTCAAACAAAAAGGCCCTGAAATTTCTCTCTTTTTTTTTAACCTATTATAAGTATTCATTCAGTGGTTAGTATGCGCGCCCCATGTATGGAGGATGTAGTCTTCCAAGTGGGCGGCCTGGGTTCAAAGCCGACCTGTGGCTTCTTTCCCGCATGTCATTCCCCCCTCTCTCTCCCTGATTTCAGAGTCTATCCACTGTCCTAGCTCTAAAAATAAAGGCAGAAAACACCCAAAAATAACTCTTTAAGAAAATAAATAACTGATTCCAACATTTGAATGATCAGCGTGAATCCTTAAAACATGTTAATAACATACACAGCTTCCCATTGTGTGGTATTAATATGTTTTTGGTGTTTTAAGATTTGCAGATTTGTATCTATTTTCAACTGTATTATGATGTGTCGTTACACCTTAATAACAGACATGTGGTACCCAAAAGTACGGTGGTGTCCAAGATTTTGTCCACCTTAGTTCTGAGGTGCACAGACCCCCAGTCTCTGAATGTGTTTTCTTCCCCTGCAGGATGCGTGTGAAGAAGCTCCCCATGATCCTGGCTCTCCACCTGAAGAGGTTTAAGTACATGGAGCAGCTGCACCGCTACACCAAGCTCTCCTATCGAGTGGTTTTCCCCCTCGAGCTCCGTCTGTTCAACACGTCAGGAGATGCAGTAAACCTGGATCGCATGTACGATCTTGTGGCTGTGGTGGTGCACTGTGGCAGGTACAGTATCCTGAATACAGACCAAGAGTTAAAATACATCACTATGAGATACTGAGCTGTCCCAATAGATAAACACAAGGCACTAGAGACTAAAACACAACCAGGTGATTTAGTGAAATATGTGTCTTAGGGTGGTTTCATACCACGGACCAGGTCCCCGATCCAAGTACGCTTGAGCCAAAAGTCTGTTTCATTTGATCAATGTGAACTAGGGGTGTAAAGGTACACGTACTCGGACCGTTTCGGTACAGGGCCTTCGGTCCGGTCCGCACGTGGACCGATCCAAGTATGCGCGGAACAGAAGTGCTTTAATCTGTGTTCCCACACGGACCGCAGCCTTCCTTCATACTGAGGTGTGCTTCCTTAATCTGTGTTCACACACGGACCGCAGCCTTCCTTCATACTGAGGTGTGCTTCCTTAATCTGTGTTCACACACGGACCGCAGCCTTCCTTCATACTGAGGTGTGCTTCCTTAATCTGTGTTCACACACGGACCGCAGCCTTCCTTCATACTGAGGTGTGCTTCCTTAATCTGTGTTCACACACGGACCGCAGCCTTCCTTCATACTGAGGTGTGCTTCCGCTTTGCGGTCCGTGTGGGAACACAGATTAAGGAAGCACACCTCAGTATGAAGGAAGGCTGCGGTCCGTGTGTGAACACAGATTAAGGAAGCACACCTCAGTATGAAGGAAGGCTGCGGCCGCTGGTATGGGACACAACTTTTAGTTAGTAAATTGTAAAAAAGTTAAAACATAAACTGTGCAGATAACTAGTTCCTCGAGCCCTGTCGGTTTGGACAGTTGCATATAACCGGGATAGAGTTCTTTTTACGGACTGACTCTTAAGTTTCGTTTCCATTTTCAGCGATGGTCCCGCTCCAACAGCGCTGCTGCACAAAAGGGGAGACACGTCTGTGTGGGAGCATAACCTGCAGCATGATAGAATGAACACCCTCCCTCCCCAACAGACAGCCTTTTGCTAGTAATTCTGAACGGGCTAAAGCCATAACAAATGCCATTGAAGTTCTTATATCGACAGAGGGAATTATTAATAGTTCTGTGATGAAACTATACTGTCCCAGATGTGATTAGCTTTATTATGTGCTCAAAGGGCATTCAAAAAACTGTTGCCTTCATAAACTAAGGTGTCACTGTAATTATAAAGAAATATTTTTACATAAAGGCTATATTAATTACTTAATTTCATTCTAAAATACTTCATCAGGTCCCTTTACCGTTCCGAAAATGTACCGAACCGAAGCTTCAATACTAAGACTCCTACCGAACCAAAAGTTTTGTGTACCCCTAATGTGAACACAAACATACTGTACTCGTTATCTGTTATCTGTTATCGAGTACCCTGCCCAAGTCCGCTTGAAGAGGTGGACTGCAACCGTGTTAAAACAAGGAAGTGGACTGCTGTATGACGTGATTCTAAACAGCTGCTGGCGCTTCAAAAACCATCGTACCCGTGCAGCACGGGCCCCTTTCATCCACTGAGCTGCATGGTGTAAGTCCAATTCATACATGCACACCTACCCATACCCCTCGATCTTCCTCCTCCATGCTCCGAGCTCAGTGGCGATTCTAGAGTCTGTTGGGGCCTTAGGCAAAACTCAATTGGGGAGCCCTCCAACCGGCGTTCATCACCATCATGTCTGCCAGAGTCCTGACGCTTTTTCCTCTTCTTCTCTTTTCTTGTTACTTTTTTCTCTGCTGTAGATGGATCATTTTTCTTTGTTGACTTTAATTGACATACTTCAGTTTTCAAAGCAATAATGAAACACTGAAGCAGGGCAATGAGAGTGAGTGCTGTCAGATGGGGCCCACTTAGGGAGGTCTCCTACTGTCATTGCAAAACTTACAAATTATGGGCCACACAGCTTTGGTTTAAGTTTGTGAGCCCTCAGAGGCCCCCCTACTGGTCTGGGGCCCCAAGCAGTTGCCTGCCTTGCCTGTTGACAAGCAGCGCCTCTGCCCGAGCTGTTCCTCCTGCCCGCCTCACTTTTATGAGGTATTGAGCTTTCAGCCGTAAAACTTTCAGCCCCCTCGTTTGATTGTTGTCTTGTTTGTCATCATGTTTTTTTTGTTCTGTTCTTGTGAAGCCAAAGACAATTTTCCACATTGTGGACAAATAAAGTTCTATTCTTCTATTCTTTTTTTTAACTCCCTTACACACAAGCCATGACTCGCTCTACTTTTAAATCACGTCTCAAAACATTTTTAGAATCTCTTATTCATTGTCTCCATGCCCTTTTCTGCTTTTTACAGACGTATCATTTCTGCCTTTTGTTGCATATTGTTATTAGCCAGGCCCTGATATTGTTCTGTTGTCATTGATGTAGGATTATATAACATCTATACTACAAAGACTCTCTGTTTGTGTCTCCTCAGCGGCCCGAACAGAGGTCATTACATCACCATTGTGAAGAGTCACGGCTTCTGGCTGCTGTTTGATGATGACATCGTGGAGGTGCGTCACTACCGCTCTGAGTCTCAGCGTGTTAATCTGCTTTTTGTCCCCTGAATCATCTGTTTTGTCCTGTTTGTGTATCGTCACTAAGACATCTTCTCACACGGCCTCTCTCACCCGTTCTGTGCAGAAAATTGATGCCCAGGCCATCGAGGAGTTTTACGGGCTTACCTCAGATATCTCCAAGAACTCCGAGTCAGGATACATCCTCTTCTACCAGTCCAGGGAGTGAGCGAGTTGTACCAGAGACGCACACGAGGAGACTGAATAGGATGAGACTTTTTTTTTTAATTTTTTTTTACCTTCAGCCTGACAGACTCCTGACATTTTTCATCTCATCCTGCTCCCATTCCCAAAGCCCCCCTCCCCCTCCCCCGAAGTATGTGCCAATCCTCTGCCTCTCGATTCCTCTGGGTTTACCTGTCATTAATCTCTCTCTCTCTCTCTCTCTCTCTCTCTCTCTCTCTCTCTCTCTCTCTCTCTCTCTGTGTAATTTGCTTCTTGCCTTTTAGTCACCTGCATCTGGACTGCACTTTAGAAACAAAAAGCAAAAATGCTCAACAGCATGACATTAACATAAAAGGAGTGTACACTGGCTTTGTGTAGACGTGTGTGTGTGAATCCTGCAGACGAGTCTGGTGCACATACAGACTTTTTGTACGATATAATTTTTATGTATATAATGTCGACTTCCATGCTGTGTCACCCCCCTTATAAATCCTTACAGTAGGGCTATTTCCCCAGTCACTGTCCCTCTTGTTTGTTGTGCTCCTGTCTCTGAAGGATGCATGAGAGGTGAATGAAGTTGGAGACAAACACTGTATAAAACTCAGAGGTAGATTTCATGTAGTTTTGGAGCAATATCGAAGCGAAGCAACAAGCTGAACTACCTGAAGAGGTTCTTATGTCCCTTTGTAAGCTGCTTGTCCATCAGCTGTGATAAGAAATCCAACTCTGTCCAATGCTCACTACAGCTGAAAGGAAATCTCCCTTTGAACCAGCTTAAATCTTTATACTAAACCCTATTTATTAAACTGTAAGTATTTATTACTCTTATTTCTCATTCAGATAATGAAGTCTTGTGTGTATTATATGACTCTTTTGAGAGTGTTGTATGTTCAAGGTAAGGTTGTCAACATGTTTGATACTCTTTTGATACCACAATCTCTGTTATTCGACTGATCGATAGTTTCAGAAAAGTACTGAAATGACGTCTTAATCACAAGATATGTGCGTAGGAGAGGATTGAATCCACTGTTGAAATTTAGACAGGGTTCAGGAGTTTGTCTTCCATTATTGGTCGTTTAAAAAATGGGGGCGCTGGTGGCGCAATGGTTAGGGCGCGCGCCCCATGTATTGAGGCTGTTGTCTCAATCGGGTGGCCCGGGTTCGCATCCCGCCTGTGGCCCCTCTCCCGCATGTAGTTCCCCGCTCCCTCTCCCTGGTTCCTGACTTTGTCCACTGTCCTCTCTCTCCATTAAAGGCACAAAAAGCCCAAAAATAAATCTTTAAAAACAGGAAATGAATTGGGTGCTTGTGGACTTGTAGTTTTGTTGCCGTGGTAACCGAGCAGATATCCTTTGATATTTACTAGAATCAAATCGAAGTTCAAAACCCTAGCTTTTAATTTAAATTTGATCTTTATTTAAAAGTATTTTTGGGGTCAGGATGAAGCCACAAGAAGATTGGGGATTTCTTCAGCCTGGAGTCATAAAGCAGCTTCATTGGCCAAAAAAGTAATCCTTGTGGTAAATCTGCCCAATCAGCGTACATCCACCTAAAGTGGTTTTAAGCACAGTCAGGCTCGGTGTTATTCTGCAAAGTCTTTTAGTTTGTTTTTGTATTTGTGTAACTTTAGTATGATTAAATTACCCTATGAATCTAAGGATATTTCTGTAAAAAAAAAATATGTTGTTTTTTTTTTTTGGTAGTTTTTTTGATAACGTTAACATAAAGGAGATTGTGTTGTTTTAAAATACATGGTATCAAAAGGTATTGGAAACTTTAACAACCTTACCATGGATGGCATGGTGTATGAAATACACAATCTGATGATACAGCTGATAAAATTGGTCTTTAATTATTTTTGAGTTTGCATGTTTCATAAAAAAAAGGTGAGACGGGTTCAATGATAGAAGTGAGACACAGCTCAGACCTCCCTGATCTTCTGATCCACATTTAAACTGTGCAATAAGAGGGGAAGTGATCTAACATGGATTTCCCAGTGAGACTAATATGATGTAATTTTAAATGTTAGTAATCGATGTGTTTCTGTTCCCTGTGACGATTGTTGTGAATTGTATTCTCCTGATTTTAAACTCCTCCCCTTTACAACCAAAGGGGATCTACAGAGACTTTAAACCACCTTTTTTTTTGTATCCTTCCCCTTTTTTTTTTTTTACATTTCTATGTTGAACTTTCTTTCAATTTACGTTGTCCCTGACTTTGATGATGTATACATCGTGTCATACAGTTTGTAGCCCACTGAAACCCTTAAGCTTCAATGTTACTTCATACAGTATCCCTCGTACTCTAGGTGTTTTCAGTCTTTAGCTCATGTTCTGTAGAATAGTTCAACATCTTGTTCTCATGTGAAAGACATTCCTGTTTTGCTGCACATCGCAGGAGTTACCATCTCAAACACATCTCATTATTTACTGTGTGAGGTAGCGATAGGTGTGTGTGTGTGTGCGTGTGCGTGTGTGTGTGTGTGTGTGTGCGTGTGCGTGTGCGTGTGCGTGTGCGTGTGCGCGTGCGCGTGCGCGTGCGCGTGCGCGTGCGCGTGTGCGTTCAGGAGGGGCAGAATTTAAAGTCAAACTCTGGGTGTCGGATTGTTTCTGCTATTTTTTTTTTTCTGTTTAGTTTGTTACCGGGTGAAGCCACGAGGAAAATGTGCCAAAACTGGAGTCGACACTGACCTTTGCAGCAGAACATTATTTTCTTTGTAAAGATACAACTGTACATATATATTATGTAGAAAAAAAAAACACTTCTGGAAATAGGAAAATATTTTTTTAAAGCGAAGATCTTAAAATGTAAAAACACTCAAAGATTTGAGCTGATCATTAATGAACCCCTGTTCAGAAACACTTGTTATTTTACAGTCACTTGATTACATAATCACATCTGTCATGTTGTTTCTTTAACTGGCTTACACTGAGCCAGGTTAGAACAGTAGCAGGATTAGTCTTAGTCATTTTACACCTTTTGGGGGGAAACAGGAAGGAGACTGACGCTGATCTTCCATTAACACTTATGCACTCTGCCTCACTGACACGCTCAGTTGTTGCACTTGGTCTTATTTATGGAACTGTGATGGATTTCTACCTGAGAGCTTCAGGTGTAGAGTCCTGCAGGAGGCTGGGATCTGATCGAGCCGGTGGGAGGGAAAGAGGAGATGAACTGAAAGTGCACTTTATTAGTGATGAGCTTCAATGCTTTAACATGAAGAACCACATTTTAACACACTCATCTTTGAGTTTTTGTTTTCTGTTCAATAAAATGACTATCAACTACATTACTGGAGTGTTTGCTTTTATTTCATTGTTGCGTTCTGTAATTTACAAGACTGAAGATGAACCTAAAACATGAATGTTTGACACTATGGCTTCTCCATCATGAGCCTCACTTACTGACTGACTCTCAGTTGGTCTGTTTAACCTGTTGGTGTATCTCAACATCTCTGATGTATTTTATTTAAGGTTTTAAAAAATGTTGTTACAAAAAGATAAGAGTCCTTCCTACTTTCATCATCATTCTTGGATTTACATGAGCTGGTCACACTTTTCTTATAAAATGTCACATCATCATTGATATATTGTACAGAAGCCCTGAGCACTTCTTCAGTCCAATACGTAAAAATAATCGGTAAAGTAGAATGTATGGATGCTTAACAAGCTTCCATACATCTTTATATGCCTTTATTTGTGATAACGATTGTTTTCCCTTTGTTTTTTTTTCGAGATCTCAGTTTATTTTTCTCATTATCTCCATAAAAATGCTGGATTTCCAGCGATAAAATTGAGATCTTGTTTTATTTTTCTTGTTATCTCAGGGTGATAAAAAAAATGGTTTTCTTATTAAAAAGAGATGAAATAATCTAATCTCAAGATCACAAAGCTTGTTTTCTCATGTTAACAGGATCATTCTCTAGCATCTCAGAAAAAAACATTGAAAGGTCAGACCAGCAAATGCCATTGCAGTTATTACATAACTCGTAATAGTTTAATTTTTCACCAAGCATCACCAATTTATTTTAAAATCCTGCAAAGCATATCACATCTCCATCAGTTGTTTTTTTTGGTAAGCGCTAATTAGCCTGGATTAGCACGCCAATCAACTTATCCAAGACGGTACGCATTGTATATCTGTTTTACACATTAGCTTGCAGATATTATAATTAGTGTTGGTGATGTTTCACAGTTTTTCTTAGAAGGAAGAGATAAATTAATTATCAAGGCTGCTTGACACATCCTGCTCTGTCCAGAACAAATCTTAGTCCAAAAGAAACGTTTATTTTGGTTTTGTCAACAGTCCGACTTTACAGCTATCAGCTTTGTGTCCTCTCAGCCACCCTGAAACCTTATCTAATCCCCGAGGAGAGGAATGACAGCAGCTGCCAGGAGCCTGGCAGAGCTTCACTTTGTGTTGATACTTCCACCTTTATCCTCCTCCTCTCTCCTTGCTCAGCTCTATGCCTGCCTGCTCTCTGTGAGGCAGAACTGATCGAGGAAACACAATTTAAAAACGTCTTACTTTTCACTGCTTCAGTCATCTCTCTCACAGAAACAAAGCTTCCACTGTTGTTGTCTCACTGTTGTACTAACGTCATCAGACCCACTCTGCTGAGCTTTTAAGGACACCCTTGAATCACAAATTATTTTAATTATCTATAATTATAATAATCATTAGCACAATTAGCTCTGACACATCAGCTAAACAACACCACTATACTGATTGAGGAAACACACCGCCTACTGTTGCATGTTATATAAAACTATTTGAACTACAATGCATTTCATAAAGAAATGAGACCTTGTTTGAGAGTCAATAATTTGACTTGGTCATCTTGACTTTGGAGATACAGCTGTTCTAAATGTATAACACTTCTCTGAACAGAAGCATTTAAAACATGTAAAGTGTCAATAATTTACTTAATTTATAATTGCATTGGGAAATATTAGTTGACTACTATTATAACCATTAATCTTAATAATATGTTGTCAATTTAATTAAACAAATGATCCATTAGTTATTGCAAAATATTTCAACTGGATAACTAGTTCTTATGTAATCTGATAAGATTTGTTGTTTTTAAAGGGTTTATTAACCATGAACTGGATACATTCTTAGTTAGTTTAATTTTTTAATCACTAGATTGAAGAATAAAAGTATTTCCTGTGTTGTTCTGATCACTGAAGTGTAAAGGCAGACACAAGCCTGCTCCATGTTTAGAATACATTCAGTGTACCTCTGTTTTTACTTACTCACATCTCAGATAAGTTATGGAAATACATTTCATGACAAATAGAAAAAGAGATGAAAGAGCAGCTCCATGTGGGCTGTGTGTCATATCAGGTAATACTGATAAATAAAGATCTCTGTGGTTTGAATAGGACTTTGTTGATCTCAAGGTTTCCTAGTGTGAACCTGGTACGTTCAGACGCACAACAAGTGGAGGGGTGACTGAGGTGACTGTCCTTTTTTTTTTTATCCATTCGCTGTAAGATTATGAAATGAGGCCACAATGAAACCCATCAGGGGGTCTCTGACAGGATTTTACCTCTCATTCTGTTTCTGTGGAAAGATCCCGGGCTCTTCTCAGAATCACTTTGTCTCCCACCGAGAGAGAGAGATGTGTACAAGATAAACTCACAGCACAAACACACTCACACAGTTGTGTTGCAAAACAATGAGTCAAATTGTCATGGTTACATTTTGAAGGACCTTCAGCTTCTTCCCAGAAAATGTCCGATATGAAATGTGTCCGTTATGTGAGGTAACAGAAATCAGGACAGTTTGTGAACGATAACGAGACAATGTGTGTCAGTGTTTTTTCTGTCCCAATTCTGGGAAACAAAGTAACAAGCAGACATTCAAATCTGTGCTATGTATTTCCCAAATAAAAGACATTTTCTGATGAATAAGATGTTTCCAGACAAAATATCATGTCAATAGTTTGACTTCTGAACAGGTGTTTAACATAAAATGCTTTTAAAGAACTAAAGTCTTGGACCCTCTCTCAAGACACAAATGAAAAGATTTTCCAGACAGGGTCAGTTTGCAGGGTCCAGAATTAATGGACCTAAATGAGATTCCTGTCGAGATTGTTTCCCATCATGCTCCTGGGAATTACAAATGGAAAAACAAACAATCAGACAGAAACAGAAGCAGCTTTTGTGTGTCTGGAGTTAGCAGTATGAGCAGTGTTTGAGGTCACAGCAGATATCCAGTGAGGCATTTCCCTCCCTCCCATTTCTGTTCATATCCAATCTTTGCTCTCAGACTAAAATGATTACAACATTTTCTTTCCGTTTACCACTAGGTGTTTTAAACTATATGGTAAGTATGGAAGCTGGTTGATGGCTTCAGCCATTGTAATCAGCAAAACTTACTTAAGTGAGTGATTTCTGGGTCTTGACATTTAAACAAAAAAAACTTTTATATTTAATGTCATCAGAATTATTTTTTTATTGGCTGCAATTAGTAAATTAACCCAACCTTCCAAAGTTGTAAGCATGCAGACTGAAGCAGGGAGGGTTCAGCATTAATCTGTAAAGTCATGAAATGTTCTGGAGACGCTATTGCACAACATGACATCTCCTCAGTTGTAAAATGTACTATTTGCATAAAACCCAACCAAACAAAAGTATGATTGATTGATTCACTCATTCATTCATTCATTCATTAGATTTTTCATAAATGTCAAGACCCAGAAAAGACTAACTTATTCATAGTTTTGGGAATTATCCCCATCCCCACCAAAACAATAAATAAAAAAAGAGGAAGCATGGCTCAAGCCTCCATGAAACTTCAATTACTAGACATTTGTGAACTCTTAATGATAATAAAATCACTTGAAAAGTTATGAAGTTGTATTGTTTAAACAGCCTTGACAGCGTCAACAGTGTTTTGTATGAAACATTAAACTATTTTCTTCCTTTATCTTTACGTTATAGTTTAAATAATGCTTTATCTTACATGCGTTATCTTTCATTTGTGCTATCTCCTGAACTGAAATGGCCACTGAACACAGAGAATCTGAAATGAGACCAGTTTTATAATCATAATCAAAGGTGTTGTACAGTTCAGAAGAACAGACTGAAGTCTCAACTCTTATTTCCACCTCAGCCCCTAAGAATTGCAACACACACCACGGACTATCATCCTGTTCTGCTAAAAAAAGACTCTCTGACACATTCTTGTCTCCTTACATAGCTAATTTGGTCTCTGCCAAAATAAACCCTCTCTAATTATTGTATCTGTGCTCTAAAAATAGAAGTTTCATGTAAATTCCTCTGCAGAGACTCAGAGAGAGGATGGCTCAGTAACTTCCCAAGAAGACAACCAGCTCTGCCACTACAAGCCTTTTTTGGTCCACAGTTCAGTAGAAACATCTCAAAAGACAATTTATTACATCAGTACCCACATTAACCACACAAACATGTCAGAGCCGAGCAGAACGAAGCGAGGGAAGGAGCTGACCTTTAGTTTCAGACTGACACAGCAGAACAAATGTCAGAGCTCCAGTTAATGTTTACTATCTCAAGTAATGTCTTTATAGTTGTTGTTGTTGTACACTGAAGATATAATACTTCCTCCAGTCCAAACTGGGTCATTTAAGTAAGCCAGAGATGAGCGCCAGGTGATGTCCTCCTTACCGTCACACTCTGATTGAGTCACTTTCCAGTAAACACTTTTCACTCATGTCATCCATTGATCCAGTTTTTTTCCATTGATCATTGACCCCGAGATGATGACACTTAAGACTGTGTTTGATAAAAATAAATTGTGCAGTGAAAAATAAAATACAAGAAAGATAATATGGGTGAAATCCGGGCTGAGAAATTGTGTTTATGTCTCTGCCATGTGTGTGAGCTGTGGAAGTATTGCTATAACATGCTCACTCTCTTTGGCTATCATGTATACCGTCCAAGGTATTCAATCTAAAACTTTTAAACTGGTTGCAGTAAACATACAAGGACTTACAGATAACGTTGCTCTCTCAGAGATGTGCTCCAATGAGTCAGACTCTCAGGAAATGGCTTTTCTGGAGAACTCAAATTAAGAGGGGGACACAAATAGCTCCTACTTAACCAAAAACACAAAGTGGGTCATGTGGGAAATCTGCTCTTACAGTTACTTTAAGAAACACAAACAGGACAGAAAAGCAAATGATTCTCTTTAACTCGTTGCTTTTTTGTTGATATGGCTGTTACCGAGGTATAATAAATATTTACAGATATACAGTATATGAACAAAAGTAACTAGGAATATATTTTTTAAATACTGTAGCTT